TGCATGATTTGTAATGCACCAAAGATAAGTTAGTTTGAAGGAAATTTCAGATTTTGCATGGAGAATGTAAGCACAGCAGTAATCCATAAATAGTCATTAAGAGGCATCAAGAGTACGCATTTTACTTATATTAACTCTTACACAAAATGTATTTCCCTTGTTCTTCTATCTAATTTGCCCCTTCAGACCTTTGCCTCACTTTCAGTGGCCTGATGTACTCCGTTAAAATTCCATCATTTAGTCGCTGTGCACATCTTCCCTTCCTCTCAGGATCTCTGTCTGACGTTTAGCATTTCTCAGTTTATTCTCCCACTTATAACTTTCATCTTTATGGTGGAGGGAAGAACAAAGTCCTAAACTACAACCCTCAATATTTTTCACTTCCCATTTTAATTACAACTGTTCAATACACAAAAGGTTATTACATCTTTTTGCAGTCAGTGCTTCCAAGTCTTGAAATCATGGAATAATTAATATTAATAATCATGTGTCCTCTCCTATATTTGTGTTGCTAAACTCCCTGGTTTATGTAAACATTGGATTCATAGATTTATCTCTCAGAAGGCAATGATTCTGTTATTACGATGATGGAGCTTGTTTTAGGAGAATATAGTGAGAACAGTGGTGGGAAGGAGAAAGTAAATTTTCTTCAGCCAAAATGTGTGAAAAACTGAAACACAGAGCATTTCTTAAAATGGTGAGAGATTGGGGAGTATCAATGTGCAAAGGGACCTTTGTGTCTTTGATCATAAGTCACTGACAACAAAAACACAGGTGCAGCAAGCAATTAGGAAGGTCAATGGAAAACAAATGCTAGCTTTCATTGCCAGAGCATGAGCGCACAGCAGCAAAGACATCTTGCTGTAACTGTACAGAGCCTTAATGAAACTACACCTGGTGGACTATGCACAGACTTTGTCTCCTTACCCCAGAAGGATATACTTTCCACTGAGGCAGTACAATGATGGTTCACCAGACCAATCCCTGATCCCTGGAATAGTGGGACTGTTACTTGAAGAGGGATTGAGGAGACTGGGCATGTATTGAAATGAGTGATGAACTTGATGAAACCCGCAAAATTCTTGCAGAACTCCAGGAGGAAGATGCAGGACAGATGTTTCTACTGTCTAGGGAGGATTTGATCTTTAGAACCAAATGGAAGAGAGAGTCTCAGAATGAAAGGTTGTCCTACATGGTCTGAAAATAAGAGGAATTTCTTCATTCAGGTATGGAATCTTCAGAAATCTTTTCGCAAAGGTCTGCAGAGCCATGCATTCAAGATAGAAATCAATAGATCTCTAGATATTAAAGAGATCAGAAATCAAGGGTACAGGAAAGTGGCAATGAGGTAGAAGATTAATCATGACCAAGTTGAAATGCACAGCAGGTTTAAGGGGATGAAAGGTCTACCCTTACTCCTGTTTCCTGTGTCCACAAGAGACCAAGTTCATGGGGCTGGAGGATTCTTCTTCTTTTGGCCAAAGAGAAGAAACCCCAGAATATTCATCACGAATGTCCATGATTGGAAAGGCAAGCATGTTAGCACAAAAGGCATGACAACAAAAGTTTGGCCCAGAGGAACAGCAGGGTTTAAAGATTTTTTTTTGAGTGGTGGTGGTTGCTTGCATCAGGGTGGTGGGGAGGGGTGGTTGCTGGCGGTGGTGGCTAGCCTTCTTGTTGCTATCCTACCTGCACGATTCAGTCAGGGGCAGAGAAAGTAGAGGACAGCCTTCCTACTCAAAGGCCGATGGAGGTCCTCAAGCAGCCCAATTACTTCCCATCCCCATTGGCATACTCCACATTGTTGGACCTCACTGAGCTCATGGTGGGATCTGCTGCTGGAATTAAAGAGTTGATCATCCACCAACCATCTGGTAGCCTTAGGCTTTCGGATCTCCATCCTTAAAGGAACCAGAGCCCTGATGCCAGGCGGTTACTTCCCCAGTCAGTACAGAATCACAGCCATGTTCCTGGAAAAGATCATGGGAAGGTTACACCAGATTTCCAGACTGCCATCAGGGCTTCACCACTGATATTAATCGCAGCCTATGAACTGTATCACAGTGCCATTTTTCACCAGCTAAGGGATGGCAGGAGGAGATAATCTGAGTCATTTTCCTGCCCATGCCTCAACAGAACCCTTGAAATTCAGAGGATCCAAAGTTCTAGGGCCATTCCTACCAAACAAACAGCCTTGTCTCGGATTTTGGTAGCTACATCCTGGTTGTGGGACAGTGAGTGACACAGTGACTCAGTGGTTAGCACTGCTGCGACACTGCGCCAGGGACCCGGGTTCGATTCCAGCCTGGGGTGACTGCTTGTGTGGGGTTTGCACATTCTCCCTGTGACTGCATGCATTTCTACCAGGTGCTCCAGTTTCCTCCCACAGTCCAAAGATGTGCAGGTTAGGTGGATTGGCCGTGCTAAATTGCCTCAGTGTCCAGAGATGTCAGGCTAGGTGGGTTAGCCACGGGAAATGCAGGGTTGTGGGGACTGGCTGGGGGTCTGGGTCTGGGTGGGTGCTCTTCAGAGGGTCAGTGTAAACTTGATGGGCCAAATGGCCTCTTCCTGCACTGTAGGGATGCTATAATTCTATCCAATCCTAAGCCTTGCAAACTTGGGTTGGAGAAGTCTGGGACGTCGGCTGAATATGTAGGACTGTACCAGGTCTCCATTTGATTACATTGTAGCACAGCTATACCAGTAGGTGTTTTCAAGCTCAGCTGGGCTGGACATATGTCTTTGTCATGCCTGAATCTGGGTCTTCAAACTGAAACACGGGGTAATCTCATTCAGAAACTACACATCAACACCACAATATAATAAAACAAAGCACTGTGGATACCGAAGATCTGAAATATAAGCAGAAATTGCTGGAGCAACTCAGCAGGTCTGGCAGCATTTGTGAAGAGCAATCAGGGTTAACGTTTCAGGTCCAGTGACCCTTCCTCAAGCCTGTTGTTGTTTCCCCTTTGTCTGCTAAGAGGTCAGCCACCTTGAAACATTCACTTGTGTCTCTCCCCACAGATTCTGCCTGGCCTGCTGACCATTTCCTACATTCCTAAAGGAGAATCAATTCCTGCCAGATGCACAGGAAAAATTTTTATGAGAATATTGCCTGTTAATACTGTGGAATACCACTGTCAGACAGGAAAAGCCATTAAAAATATTAATGAAAAGACAGAACAATTGCATTTATGCAGCACGTTTTACAAGTACCAGATGTCCCAAAGTGCTTTCCAGCCAATTAATTACTTTTGAAGCTTGGTCACTGCTGTAATGTAGTAAAAGGTGCAGCCAATTTGTGCAAATACCTACAAAACAGCAATGTGGTAACAACTATATAAATGTGTTACTTTCTGTGATGATGACTGAAGAATAAACGTCAGTCCGGATGTTGGTGACAACTCTCAAAATGCCACAAAGGGAGGCCTTGGTTTAAAAAGCCTCATCTGAAAAGATAGAACCTTCAACAGTGCATTGCATGCCCCCAGTACTGTGCTGGAGGTCAGGCCAGGCCAGGCCAAAAAGGTTTGATGCTGAAGATCTGAAGTGGGCCTTGAAACTTGTGAAATCAATGGGGAGAGCACTACCCAGTGCACCACAAATCCCTGACCTAGACGGTCCTCACTTCACATCAGTGAAAGCATTCCTGAAAGTCGTGGCTCTCAGTGAAAAGATTTTGAGTGAAGCGCTTAGGCTAAGGCCCTTACTCAGCAGAAGGTACCCTGTAAGTTGAAATGTAGTCCCTGAGTTTAAGATTTAACTGTAGGAATTTAGTCACTCAAATAACTAAAATTAAAAAAAAAAACACCCTGCTTGAGAGATAAATGTAATACTTAACTTGCAGTACATTCTGCAGAGGACTTTCCAACTGTTCAGCCAAAGATGGCGCTATCTGGGGTGTGCATGAGGGGGTCCTGCAGTCATCAGACTGCAAACCTTTGGCTGGGGTTGTCACTTGTTCCTGCTGTACTGTGGTGTGTTTCCAGGAATATGCAGCACCCCCTTTTTACTGGCTGACTGGCTGGCTAGGGTGGGTTTACAGCAGGTCTGCCAAGCTATGTGGTATTGGCATGCCACAGGTTGAGTTTGGAAGTGAGTGGCACCCTGCAGTAGGTTCTCATGCAGAGATTTATCCGGTGTCTTCAAGGTGGTGATGTTGATAGTCAGGTGGCAGCTCCATAAGGTAGTATGGAATGTAGTGGGTGGAGAGATTCCTACTGCACATCACGGGCAGTGGTGCAACACCAGGAGAGGCCACAAGTGGGAGCTCCTTGAGATCACGCCAAGTTGGCACCAATCAGTTCAAACACTTACATTATAAACAATCTCAATGCTCAGTAAGATTTCCTGTTCTAATAACTTACCAATGTTAAAGGGAAACAATGCTAAAATGGGGCAACTTTAAAATGCAGAGTACCTGTATATTACCAATAAGCGATGGCAAATGGCTTTCCAGTTCACTGGTTAATGATAATGTAAAAAATCTGACCGACTTTTGCCGCTAAATGTTTTGTCAAATGTTTGAAACTAAAAATTTTCAATTAAATAACTCAATTGTTAGCCCAGGGGAGAAAACAGAAATGCACAAGGGGAACCAATAAATTGTCTAAACCATCTCAATCACATATGGGGGCATATGATATTTTTTCACAATGGCCATAAGTTGGCTTTTGACTTTCCTATAAGTAATTTCATTACCTGTGAAATGCTTTGGCATGCTTGGGATATCTGGTAGAAAATGGAAGTTCTTTCTTTACAGCAAACCAGAATGTAAAGTACAGAGTTAACGTAAAGAAAATTCAATTTCCATGATGGTAATTTTTAGTAAGTCACTAGCATAATTCAGCAAGTACTTAAACTCAATTCAATGATTGGCCACAACATTAATTCAACTGCTTTAACTGGTTATTGCTGGCTAAAGCACAGGTCTGTCGCTGTTCACCCTTGGTCCTTTCTTGCCCACAAATACTGCTATTGTCTAACATGGCACTCACCAGTACATAGTAGTAAGCATATAGTGCTGTAGAATGGTGGATAATAAAATATATGTCTCCAATTGCTTCCCAATACCATAACATGAGTAGGAAATCTAGAAAAGCAACACAAAACCAAAAATTAGAAGAGATTAGTTGTACTCTGGAGATTTATTCAGTTGCTTAAAGTTACAGCAGCTATCAAAACAATGATCTCAGCTGTTTGCTGCAAACAGTTGACCACAAAAAGATTATAAGATGTAGGAGCAGAAGTTGACCTATCAAGTCCGCTCTGCCATTCAATGAAATTAAGGCTGATTAGATAAACCTGAACTCCACTTTCCTGCCTTCCCCCACCACCCTCCCTTCCTAGTGAAAAATCTATCCATCTCAGCCCTGAATTACAATCAACTGTTCTAAGGTCTCAATTATTTAATATCTAAATTTATGCGTAAGAGAATAGGGGTATAATGAATCCAAATTTGCTGAGAACACAAAAATAGGTGGGATGGCATGTTGTGATAAGGACATAAGGAGTCTGTAAGGAGAAATAGAGTGAGTGAATGGGCAAAAACTTAGCAGATGGAGTTTAATGTAGGCAAGTGAGAGGTCATGCAACTTGGTAGGACGAATCAAAAGAGATTATTCTTATTTAAGTGGAGAGAGACTCCCCAAAAAAAAAAAGCAGCAGAGTGACTTGGATGTTAATATAACAAAGAACTGCAGATGCTAAAAATCCAAAACAAAAACATATTTCTGGAGAAACATAGCAGGTCGAGCAGTATTGTGGAGAGAAAACAGAGTTAACGTTCTGAGTCTGGTGACCCTTCTTCACAACTGGGTTCGGAAATGTTCTTGTATGTGAAACACAAAAAAAAAGCTAGCTTGCAGGTGAAACAAGGAAGAAGGCAAATTAAATTTTAGCCTTAGTGTTAGGGGGCTGGAGTTTAAAAATAATGGTAGGGGGTCTTGGTG